AATCTGGTTTTCATTTTGTATGTGGCCTAATTTTCACCTTCATCTTTTGCTGTGATGTGTTAGCCTTGTGACAGACTGGCGACCGGTCCAGGGTGTACCCCGCATCTTCCCTTAAGACAGCTGGGATAGGGGGGAGGGAAGGAGGGATGGATGGGTCTGGGTAACTTTCCCCTTCTCTCTGCATCCATCGTGTCCTACAGCAGGGTGTGTTGGTGCTTTCTAAATTTGCTTCAATGTTTTCTTTCTTATTATTCTTTTATGATTGTCTGACTTCAACGTTATTTTTCCAGGCCGGCACAAGAGCTCAACCCAAATGCAGATACCAATAGAGGCAGCGATCAGATTCACTGGTTTGATGAACACAGTTTTATTGTTGTTTAATTTATTCATCTGACTACTAGAATAAAATTGTTTTTGTTTTAAAGGTTTGCATTAACATCTTTATCACCGTCAGTTTTGCAACCTTTTTGCAGACAGACATCAATCATAGCCATCACACTAAACCAAGGAAGTAATGATTAAACAAGCTATTTAAAAAAAAAAACAGAAAAAAAAAAACAGAGTTCTTGGCCATCGCTCGTCTCACTGTCCTGGAGCTGATGAACAATAGCAGTCATCTGCAAACTTTAACGTCTAACAGTTCCCAATTTTCTAAAGATGCCTTGCCCTCTGCAGGCCACCTCTGTAAGTATAAATATGTTCTTTGCCTGATCAAATGAAGCTTAGATGGACTTGCTGCTCCACCTTGTGGTTCAAATTGGTATTTCACAGAAATACAGCTCACGTCCACAACAGTTTCAAACTTGGAGCCTGACCTCTGACCCTGAAACCAGAAGAGGATCTTTCTGTCTCTTGAGATTCATTGTGATCCAGTGATGGGAGTGATTTCATGATCACGCTGATGTTTGCACAGAGCAGATAATGAAGTGAATGTTTTTGCACATTGGTAACAGTGAAACAGTTTATTTACAGCGTGGGATCGTTTGTGTTTGGAATATGAACGGAGATTACCAAACCTTTTGTCACACTGGTCACAGCTGAAGTTCCCTTCAACATGTGTATCTTCATGAACCTTCCGATTAGCTGGACCTGAGAAACTTTTGTCACAGTGTCTGCACTTGTATGGTTTCTCTCCTGTGTGGACTCGTTTGTGTCTTTTAAGCTCACCTGCAGTGGTGAAGGATGACCCACACTGGTCACAGACATGCTTTTTAACCCTACTGTGAATAAGTTCATGTATTTTTAAATGACTCAGTGTGGGGAAGCCGCTCCCACATTCTTTGCAGTAGTTCATTTTGTCTTCAGTGTGTCTACGTTGATGTATTTTCAGGCTCTTTGGATGACTGTAAGTTTTTCCACAAAGGTCACAGCAAAACTCTTTCCCACCACCACAGTGACGACAGGGTTGAGAACTGGATCCATCTGTGTCGCTCTGCTTCTAAACAAAGACACAAAGACAGCGCAAGTCAGTCCTTCAACATTTTAATCCTGAATGAAGCTTGAAATAAAGAGAATCTCTGCCAACATCCAGTTACATTTTACTGTTACAGTGAAACTATACACATAGCTTAGTTGCATTGATAGAGAAGCCACTGAAGCAGCTCAGCGCCTTCGTGAACGAGGTGCAGCGAACAAATTCTGTCAAATACTGCGTGAGTCATGGCACCACTTACCTCAACATCCAGTTGTGAAAGCTGCATCAACCTGAGCCAAAAAGTAATCGAGCTGGAACAAAAGATATCCACGTTATAACAAATCCAGGGGGTGGAACGCGAACTTGACACGATCCTCCTTGGCAAAGCTCAAACCACCGCTACTAGTGCTGAGCTAGCCGACACAGTGCACCACCCAGCTGTTGTGTCCCAAGATCCCACCAACAGTCAACCCAGGCTCTCAACTTGCGTCGCTAGTGTTTCTGCCACGGACGAGAACTGCTGGTTTCAACTAGGGGCCAGACCCAAGGCTCTGGTCAGCTCCACTTCACTCCAACCAGCGCCATGGACCGTGGTTGCGACGTGCGGTGGCTGCAGAGGGGCCAGGAGGATCCGTCTCTCGCACCCTCACCCCTCCGGTGCGGTAGTACTGGAGAGTAAATTCAATGTTGGATAATGTGGACTTTCCTCCTTTGGCCGCTAGCCCTCGCCATCCCGCTGTATCGCTGAGGTCTGCGGCATCTCCACCACTACGCCACCGGAGCCGCAGCGGGCAGCCCGACGCTGTGGTGCAAATTCACCGCGGAGAGCTGTGCTTTACCCTGGCTCCTTGGAGAAGAAGACCTGCCGCGCGGCTACCTGGGAGTCACTCACGCGGTCCGGCTGGTGCATCTCCATTTGAACACCCCCGGTGCCGTGGCGCGTGCGTCCCAGATGACCAGCAGCCCCCGGTGGCACCTCCTCTGTCCACGCTGGTCCTCGGGGATTCCATCGTCAGGAACGTGCAGATGAGGGGGGTGCTCACCCTGTAGTTCCCGGGAGCCACCATTGTCGACATAGTGGACAGAATTCTTAACATCCTGGCGTCCCACCCACAGGCCAACCGGCTCATCATCCACATCGGCACCAATGACATCCCCAAACAGCAATTCGAGCTGCTGAAGCTGGACTTCCTCCAACTCTTCAGCCTCCTTGGTTAGTTGCAGGTAAGTGCTTTTATCTCCGGGTCCACCCCCACCTG